GAGAGGCGACTGGGTCTTTCAGTAGTATTGTGGCCCTTAGGCTTTGGGAGGGACCCGTAGTCCACTCTTGTACTTTGCCCATGTCGGAGAGGCGAGTGGGTCTTTCAACAGTATTGTGGCCCTTAGGCTTTGGGTGGGACCCATAGTCCACTCTCGTACTTTGCCCATGCCGGAGAGGCGATTGGGTCTTTCAGCAGTATTGTGGCCCTTAGGCTTTGGGAGGGACTCGTAGTCCACTCTTGTACTTTGCCCATGCCGGAGAGGTGACTGGGTCTTTCTGTGGCCCTTAGGCTTTGGGAGGGACCCGTAGTTCACTCCTGAATTTCGTTGCTCCTTAGAGACCTGCAAGGAACTAAATATCAGAGGACCCGGGGTGGCTAACCCAGCGAGGTCACTCCGATGGCTAAATTAGTACTCTCATAGTAGACCGCGAGTTAGAGATCACAGTCTCAGAGCTAGAATTTGCTTACTTGTTTCTGAGGCTGGTGCCTTTTTAGTTCGTAAGTTTGTGCCTGGGTCAAGCCGCCATGTCGGCGCCCGTGCCAGGTCGCGCTAGGTCGGCACATGTGCCAGGTTGCCAGGTCGCCCGAGGGGGGGGCGCCTTAGAGCTATGAAGCGAGAGCTTCAGTTTCTTTGAGTTCATAAAAAAAAGGAAACTATAAAGTGGGAGCTTTAGTTTCTAAAAAGGTGAGGACTTAGCTTTCTGGGAGAAGAGGACTTAGCTTTTTGTAAGATAAGAACTTAGATTTTGTGGGATGAGAACTTAGCTTTTTGTAGCGTGTTCCCATAGACGGCGCCAAATGGTGTGGCGTAATCCGGCTGCTCCCTGCTGGATATGATCTGGCTGCCAGCAACGATGAGAACTAGGTTCTTGAAAGAGATGAGTCAGAGATCCCGGGGTGGCTCACCTGGCGAGGATACTCCGATGGCTAAGTTAGAGCACACTAGTAGTAGAGAGAGCTTGAAGATGATATTAGAGCATGAGAGAGCTAGAGAGTAGGGGTTACCACCTCTTCCTTCAGCCTCTTTTCGCATACCTTTGCCCCTGGGGGGTGAGGTCTTTATATACTGGAGTCCTTGTGGGTTAGGTGGAGCAGTTCCTGGATCCCAGCTGTGATGGGACTGGCTTGTGTATTAGGTGGATGAAATGCCTTCAAACGGTAAAACTATCCCTTCTCGTCAGAACCAGGGAGTGGGTGAGTTAATATAGCCATTACAAGTCACAATCCCGTAAAATGCAGGGTACAGTGGTGAGCTCCTCAAGGTTGTCAGGTTGGCGCCTATGTTAGGCCACCAGGTTGGTGCCTGGGCCAGGCCGCCAGCTCGTGCCAGGGCCAGGTCACGCCAGGGTCAGACTGTCAGCTCGTGCCAAGGCTAGGCTGCCAGCTCGTGTCAAGGCCAGGCTGCCAACTTGTCCCAAGGCCAGGCTGCCAGCTCGTGTCAAGGCCAGGCTGCCAGCTCGTGCCTGTGCCCGGCCGCTAGGTCCGGCCAGAGCTAGGCCACTAGGTCACGCCTATGCCAAGTCGTGCCTGTGGGACACCATCATCTTAGCAAAGGCAAGTTGTTGCCAAAGTGGTCCCGGGTGTCACCTAGTTGTTCTGAGTTGCCAGGCTACAAGATGGTGGGCTACCTGTGGCGAGCTGCCTGTGAAGTGCTACATGGTGGCGAGCTACCTAGTGGCAAGCTGCCTGTGAAGTGATGCATGATGGCGAGCTGCTTGTGGCGAGCTCGAGCTGTCTAGCTGTCAAGGGGCTGCACTTAGTTAGCATGAGGTGCCAGGTGTCACAATGTCATTGGAGGGCCAAATCCGCCCTCATCACCCTTAGATTGGCATCTAATTCTCTTTATCAACCCCCCAAACATTGACAATAAAATGAACAGTCGCAAATTCTAGATTCTTCTAAACAGTCACCAATTTTTTTGAATAGAAGAGGCTAGGATTTGGGACTATTCAGTTTTTTGTCAACGTTTGGATGGTTGATAAAGAGAATTTGATGGCACTCGTAGGGTATTTTTGAGTTTTCAAATGTAACTTAACGGCTGATTAATGGACTGGTTAATGGCAGGTACTGAATTGTCACATTTTGAAAGTTCGGATACTGAATTGTCACATTTTGAAAGTTCGGATACTGAATTGTCACATTTTGAAAGTTCGGGTACTGGATTGTCGCATTTTAAAGTCTGTGGACCAAATTATCACTCGAGCCAAAATACAGGGTACTGATCAAGAATTTTCCCTTTTACAAATGAAGAATTTAATGCAAAGCATTTGAAAACCAGACTGGACGGAATGATTAGATGATTGGATCGATTGACTTGAGAATCGGTCATGAACTTGGATTCGGTTTTAGGTCCCAAAAATGTCTGATCCGACATTGAACCCGATGGTTGGACTGTTTGATCCGAGAACCAATGACCAAAACATTGGGGTGTAAAGGAGAGATAATCACGGGAAAGAACCATTGTTTTCTGTTCTAACCCTAGTAAGTAATAACTCCACATGCACCTCGGTACAGCCAGTTGGGCCCACATCTACATAACATCAAACCCTAAATGAATTCACATTTACGCCCAGGGCGCCCCACAACCCTACCGTGTATTGAGAATATCTTCCATTGACAATTTCATGAGATGTTTCCAATGCACACCGAAATGAAATGTACATATGGGGTTCTTGTGAGGCGCAGATGTGATCACACCCTAAATGCAAAAAGTGAATCAGTCATCACGGTTAAGAGCTTTTGCAGAGATTACATTTTTTTAACGAACCTCAGGACATTGCTCTTAAATGAAAGAAGAAAAGTAAAAGCGCCCAACAATGGCCATTATCCCACTGTCGTATATTACGATAGGTAGGTTGCATTTGAAGGGACTGTAGGTCCCCTAGGTCTGAACTTCTGCCATTGCCAAGCAGCTTTATGGACAGGAAAGAAAACCCTAAATTTTTATAATTCTAATTTTTTAAGTATCTAAATATTTTTATCTTGCCTGCTGTGGACATGGACAATTTGTCCAATCATGACCATGCCTTGTTGCCTCTTTGTTTTTTACTGCATTGTGGTTTAATCCCTTTCGCAGGAATTGAAATTTTCATACACAAATGCAAATTAATAGAAATTAAAGAGTGCGTTTGGTTTGTGGTCGAAATCAGATTCGAAATCCTCTAAAATCAGAATTAGAATTGCCTATTCTTCTTATGGCTCTTACAAAAAAGTTTCATAATCTAAGAAAACACTCCATAATAAAATCCTAATAAAATTCTTCCAAAAGAAAGTCATAATTGAATAGAAATTCAAAATCCCGCTATAACGCTAACTTGGTGATTACGAATTAAGATAAACTCTGCAATGGCGTCAACTTGGTAAAAACAAAATAAGATAGAAATTCTGTGGTGATGCTATATCGGTAAATATTTACCTAGTTGGGTCGGTGGCATCATCTCTGCTTCTTATGTGTCTTGGAATGGTTCCAATTTTCATAGAACTTATTAGCTTCATTCTGTGCTGCATCATCCTCTCCCTATATATACTAAGATGGGTCTTCGAAAACAATTTATGTAAATGCTTATTTAGTTGGTCCGAATCCCATACTACATCACTATGCCGATTTGGTTCAGATGAAAATTAGAATTGGATTCCATTAGATATGTATGACTCCCATGGAGGGTTGACATCAGATTTAGAGAAATAGGATTTAGGAGATTTTTAAGTCATTTGTCTTTTTTCTTTTTTATTGGCAAACTGAAAATGGAATTCTCGTTCTCAAGGGAGAGGCCGAAATGGCCATTCCTTAAATAGGGGAATGCCATTCTACCAAGAATGGGAATTGGAATCCCATTTTGTTCAATTAAATAGTTGGAATCAGAAGGGGCAATTCTGATTTCAATTCCAGATCCTTATTCCTACAAATTAGAGGTGCAACTTGGGCAGGCTTGTATTGGACTTTTATCAGATTTTCAATGGACCCGGCCTGAAGGCCCGAACCCAAAGCAATGTAAAATGCTATTCAGGCCAACTCAGCCAGTTGCACCCCTACT